CCCCCTTCCTCCCCTCCCCCCTCCCCCCTTCCCCCTCTCTTTTTAGCGTGTGTGTTGGGCCCCGCCTGGCGCCATGGAGCGGATCCTCAACTTCAGCCAGCCGCTCGAGGTGGCGGTCTTCGACGACGTGGTGGGGAAACTCTCGAGCGGGTCGGCGCCGGAGATCATGGAGGCCCAGGCGGTGCTGACGCGCTTCCGGCAGAACCCCGACGCTTTTTTTCGCGTCGACAAGCTGCTGAGCGGGTCCAAGAGCGTGGCGACGCGCTTCTTTGCACTTCAGATCCTGGACGATACGATTCTCCAGCGGTGGAACTCCTTGAGCCCGGCGAACCAGAGCGCCGTGCGCGGCTTCGTCCTGAGTTTGATCCTGCAGGAGTGCGGGAGTTGGGAGAACATCCGCCGCAATCGCGCCCTGCTGACCAAACTCAACACGACGCTCCTGAGCATCGCGAAGCGGGAGTGGCCGGTGCGGTGGCCGAGCTTCATCGCGGACATCGCGAGCAGCGCCCGGGTCGAGGACCCGATGGTGGAGAACAACCTCCACCTCTTTCGCCTGATCGGCGAGGAGATTTTTGAGTTCAGCGCGAAGACGCTGACCTCGCGCTGGGCGGCGCGCAAGAAGGCCGCCCTGGCGGACGACTTCCGCTTTATTATGGAGGTCTGCGCGGAGGTCTTGTTGAAGTCCGAGGACCCCACGCTGCTGAAGGCGGCGTTGGAGACGTTGGCGGTCTACGTGCCGTGGATGGCCCCTGGGTTGACCATCCAGGAGCCGATTTTGCAGCGCCTGACGTGTTTGATGGTCGGGGGGGAGCAGGTCCGAACCCCCGCGCTGTGTTGTTTTACGGAGATCTGCACCCTCAAGCCCGAAAAGGGCGCCCAGGGGGATACCCAGACCAAACTCATCACCCAGGCCTTTGAGGCCGCCATGCGGTACATCGTCGCGGCGCTGCCGACCTCGCATTCCTCGATTATGGAGCGCACCGTGCGGCTTTACGAACAGGGGAACGCCGTCGATCAGAGCTTTGTGAGCAATCTCTGCCTCCTCCTGACGTCGTTTTTGCGGAATTATTATTCGAATATCGCCTACAACGACGAGCTCCTCGTCGCCGCGCATGAGTTTTTGGTGGGAATCAGCAATATCGACGATAAGGAGATCTTCAAGCCCTGCGTGGAGTATTGGTTCTGGCTCGGGGAAAATTTGCTTAGCATGGCCAATTACTCCCTCAAGCGAAGTCTCACCACGAAGTTAAAGCGGCTTTTTACCGACGTGCGCTACGTCCTGATCAAGCGAATGGCGAAGCCGGAGGAGGTGATTTTAGTCGAGGAGGACGGTGAACTACGACGGGAGCGCATCGCGGACGTGGAGGAAGTCGAGCAGTACCGCCTGATGAGCCAGACCCTTGTGTTGTTTACCAAATTAGAATCCAAAGATACGCGCGATATCATGGTGAATCTGATGAATCGCCAGCTGGATCGGAGCGAGTGGTCGTGGCATAATTGCAATACCCTGTCCTGGGCCGTCGGGTCCATCGCCGGGACCCTGCCGGAGGATGAGGAGGTGGAGCTCTTCACCACGATGATCAAAGGCCTGCTCACCTTGTGTAAGGAAACCCAAGGGAAGGAAAATCGGGCGGTGATCGCGAGCGATATTATGTTTGTGGCCTCGCGCTATAAAACCTTCATGCAAAGGCGGCCCCATTTTATGTTTACCGTGGCGCGAAAGGTCTTTGAGTTCATGAGCGAGACCTTCCCAGGGGTGCAGGACATGGCGGTGGATACCTTTTACAAACTCGCGGAGCAGCTGGGGCCGCTTTTTGTGAAGAAAACCGACGACGTCCCGTCCTTTGCGGAGTCGATCGCCGCGCAATGGTCGACGATCACCGCCCTGCTCGCGCCCCAGCAGGTGCAGGTCTGCTTTTCCGCCGTCGGCTTCATGATCGCCGCGGCGACGCCCGACGACTACCAGGCCCAGCTGCTGTCGAAATTCCTCGAAGGGACGAACCGCGGCTTTGGCCTGGCGATGGAGTTCGCCCACGGGAACGCCTACTTTTATCAAGAAAGCGGCTTTATGGTGGAGCTGCTGAACTTCTTGCGGATCTTCAGCCACGTCGCGCGGACCAGCGGCGATGCCTTTATTTACCAGATGCACGAGATCATTCAGAACCTCTATTATGTCTACAACGCCATCTCGGCCGCGCAGGCCGCCGCCCTGGCGCGGGAAGGCCTAGCCTTCGTCAGCAGCGAGACCTTCAAGTACATGCGGCTCACCAAGCGCGAGAGCATGCTCATTTTCGAGCGCTTCGTCGCGCATTCCGCGCACCTCGACTTCATCGCGGGCCATATCCTCCCGGACGTCTTCGCCGTTGTGCTGGTGGACTACCAAAACGCCATCCCGGCCTCGAAGGAGGCCGGGGCGCTGGCGCTCGTGACGGCCTGCGTGGAGACGCTCTCGGGGCGCATCGCGGGGGATTGCGGGGCGATTTTGGATGCCGTCTTTAACCCCACGGTGGCCATGATCACCGATAACATGGAAAGCTACCCCGAATTCCGCGTCAACCTCTTCAAGCTGCTCGGGGCGCTGACCGATAAGTGCTTTGAGTCCTTCGTGAGCTACGCCGCGGGGCATTCGGATATTCTGGAGGGGATGTTGTGGGCGATCCGCCACCGCGACTACCCCACCATGTCGACCGGCCTGCGCACGCTGGATCACTTCCTGGAGACCATCGTGCGCTACCCGCTCGCCGAGGCCTTTTATCAGGTCTTTTTGCACCGCATCTTCGAGGAGGTCCTGCACGCCGCGATGGACTTCTTTCACGCCGCGGGCTTTCCTTTTCACTGCGCGATTCTTCGCCGGCTGTTCGCGGTGACGGAGATGGTCCCGCGGGAGGCGCCGGTGCTCGGCCGCGACGCCGCCACCGCCTTCCTCGCGGACCTCCTCCTCGTCCTGCCGACGGTCACCAAACCGTCCGTCCTGGCCTTCGTTGACCGGTGTTATGCCTCCTACAAGGATGAATCCGCCTTCGAAACGACCCTGGCGGATTTCCTCATCGAAGTCCAGGTGTGGGGGGCCGAGGCGGAGAATAAAATGCAGGAGGCCGAGGAGCAGCGCCGCCGCGAGGAGACCATCCCGGGCTTCTCCACCCTCTCCACCAACGAGCCGATCAACCCGTTTTTGGAAACGGCCAACCAGCCTCCGCGGAATCCGGGCGCGGAAAGCTATTTTACGCGAACCACCTCGGTTTGACCACGCGATCTCTCCAGATGGGTCTGACAAAAAAACAAAAAACAAAGATGAAATCAAAGAAAAAGGAAACATGCTTGTTCACTAAACAACAACGGAAGGCGAAATCTGGAAACTAAATATGTCAATAATGAGAGGAAAGGATCAAAGGGAAGAAGAGAAGGGGGATGGCAAACGTGTTGATAGAGTGAAATAAAAGGTATAAGTGTTTTTATTCGCTTGGTGGTTTCTAATCTTTATGGATTTCATTCCTAGGACACTTCAAACCAATCCGATTTTATTTTTACCTATTATCTTTGTTCTTACCTAGCGCCAGTCATTCCTATTGATGCGTACAGAAATCCACATTGAAATTTGACCATATATATACATACATCTATCTATTTTAATATCTCTATATAGAGAGATATAGATATCGATATAGATAGATCGATGTGTGTGTGTGTGTCTGTGTGGGTGCATTTACTCCGCTCTTCCTTTACATTCGATATGTAATTTTGGGTGGTATAAATCGGATCCATTCTGGTATATATTCGCATCTCGATCAGACATCATTCCCTTTTCCTTCCCCGTGGATAGGGAAATTTTTAAGTAAAATTACACCGTTAGATAGGCGATTAGGGCACATTTTTTTGAGGAGGATGAGAGAAGTAAAACCAAGAATATAACAGAATCTGGTTGCCATTATAAGTGCGCGGATGAGCGATTCCTGAATGCATGGATGCTTTTTTCTTTTATTATTATTATTATTGATGGGTTGGTTCTTTATGGTCGATGTTGCGAAGTTTC